GGCTATGCGGACTCTGTTGACTGCCGCTCTAAAAAGTTCTGCACTACTGCATTCGAACTATTCCCTTAAGTTCTTAAGCCAGGATATTCTTCGTCTTCCCACATGTCGCTTTCCTCAGATTTTGCCCTGCATAATAAGTTGTAGTAATGCGTATTTTTGCCCTCTCATCACATGTCCCAAGTACTCAAGTTTTCGTCTTTTAATAGTTAATATTATTTCCGCCTCATTTCCTATCCTTCTAGTTACTTCCATGTTTGACATTCTTTGAATCCATGATATTCGTAGGATTCTTCTGTAACACCAAAATTCAAAGGCGGCCAGCTTATTCAGATGAACATGTTTTAGTGTCCAAGCTTCCAGACCATAAAGAAGAGTAGAGAACACGTAACATCGAAGCATTCTCAGGCGTAGTTCTAACCTTATATCCCGACAACAAAGAAACTTTTTAAGTTTAATAAATGATGTACGTGCTATTTCAATACGTGTCTTAATTTCTTTGGTTTGGTCTACATCTGATGTTATCCATGTTCCTAAATATTTATAGTTATTAACATTCTCAATTGCAGTATCTTCAATAGTCAATTGGATATTTGCATGTGCAGATTTAGTCATGATCATGCATTTAGTTTTCTTTAAATTTATCTTCAGTCCGTACTCATGACAGCGTTCATTAAGGCGTTGCATTAGGTTCTGTAAATCATTGTTGTTATCCGTAATTATTACTGTATCGTCTGCAAAACGTAAGTTATTCAAAACTTCTCCATTGATAGATATACCTTCTATTGAGTCTGAGAGCGCTTCTTGAAATACCGCTTCACTGTAGACATTGAAAAGTAGTGGGGACAGCACGCAACCCTGGCGGACTCCTCTCTGTATTTTGATATTTTCGGTGTACTGGCTGTCAACTCTTACCTTGGCAGTTTGATTCCAATATAAATTAGATATAATTTTCAGATCACGACTGTCAATATTTTTGCTTTTTAATATATCTACAAGCTTTTTATGTTGAACTTTATCAAATGCCTTTTCAAAGTCTACAAAACATAAGTACATATCCTGATTCATGCCCATGCATCTCTGAGCCAGCACATTCAAGCCGAACAAAGCATCTCTTGTACTCATACCATTTCTAAAGCCAAATTGTGTGTTACTAATCTCATATTCAAGAGTTTTAACAATTCTGCTGTGAATTATTTTCAAAAATGTTTTAAGTGTGTGACTCATTAAAGCTATCGTTCTGTGGTCTGAGCAAGTTGTTGAACTTGGTTTTTTGGGAATTGCTACAAAGGTTGATTGCAGCCATTGTCTGGGGGTTGTGGCAGTCTGATATATTAAATTAAAGAGTTCAACCATTACATCAATAACATCTTCATCGATGAGTTTTAATAATTCGATGGGCATCTCATCTGGTCCAGTAGCTTTACCCTCTTTTGTGTTTTTGATAGCATAGATGACTTCTTCTCTTAATATTGGTGGTCCAGTATCCTCGGTGATTTCTAATGACAGTTCTTCTCTTTCATCATTAAATAGTTGTTGAATGTAATTGGTCCAGTGACATAATCTCTCCTTCATATCAGTAATAATATCCCCTTTATCATTTTTAAGGATATTCGTTTTTGTACGCTTTCTAGAACCTGTCATTTCTTTGATTTTTTTTGTGTAAATTAAAGCTATCGTACTTTTTATCCAGATCTTCTATTTCCTTGCATCTATCGGAGAGCCACCTCTCTTTTGCCTTTCGAATTTTCTTTCTGATGTTTCTCTGAATTTCTTTGTATTTATTCAGGTCTTTTGCTTTATGTTTTCTTCGTTCTTCCATGAGTTCAAGAATTTCTACTGTCATCCAAGGTTTAGATTTGGCATTATCTGACAATATTATTGTTTTGATGTCATTTTTCCATAAGGCTGTTTAAGCAGTTCAAGCACACTGCGATTTGAAATGGGCGTATCACTTACTTTTCTACACTGCTTACGCGAGACTATTTTTACTCAGTGGCGCCGTGTTTAATGACAACAAATGCATTACTCTCCATTCAAATTAGTTTTAACACGAACTAACTGACCGTACGTTAATGAGATTTGACGTCACGAAGGCGATAACGATGAAACTAGCGACAATGATGAGTAACACGTTTCACTATTCGATTTTAGTATTTTTTAGCAATTTTCTTCAAAGTTGGAACACGCTTTTCTCGATTATTACTGGACACAGAAAGGTGAAAAAAAAAATCAACGATTACAGAAAAAAAAACTCGTTCAAGTGATGGGCGTAAAAAGTTTGGTTATAATAGAACGTTAAACAGTATAATCCAATTTTTCAACAGAAGTTTCAAAAAAAAAATAAAAAAAGTAAAACCATCATTTTAAAAGCAACATAATTTTCGAATATTGTGTCCAAATTTCGAGACATTTTGTCGGTAAATAACAGTCCCTAGGTTTTGGGGCACCAATAAAACAGCCTTGAAAATATCAACGTAAGTTGACATAAGTGAATGCATAGCCAGGATTTGGTGAAATTTTTTTATAAATAATTGATGGATTCGACCGAGAAATTTTTTTATATTGTTGAAAATAAATAAAAAACCATGAGGGTAATGTTTTTAATAAATATTAAGAAAAATGCCATATTAATTAATATGGGAACTTATAAAAACATGCAGAGTATAATTTGTTTATGGTACCTAATCAGCAACTACAAATTCCATAGGTGGGCCAACTGATATTGGAAGGGGCTCGTAAACATCTATGAATAGACACATGGCAAAATTTATAAAGCGGAAGTGAGACAGGGCATGACATATAATACAGAGACAAGACTCGATACCAAAAACAAATAAGAATTATTTATTAATAAAAACATGTGACATGAAGATTCAGAGATTCAGTCAAAAATATAACACAAAAAACACTATGGGACAGAAAATGTCATAGAGTTCAAGCGAAGATATAGCACATAAGTAACTAGATACTAGACAGAAAAAGGAATGAAAGAGCAACATAAGTAGAATAAGAAAGCACAGAATAGTACAAAAAACACAAGGTAAATCATCAAACGGCCGAAGAAGTATAGGAAGGACAAGAAAAAGATATAGTGGCAATCTGGACATTTAATAAGAAGCCATTCGAAGATGGAACAGGCGCATACATAAAGAAAAACAACATTAGAAATGGAGTTAGTATAATTGTAGAAAGAAATGAAAAAAAAGTTGCAAGAGTTATATGAAACAATAAATAAACAGCAAAGATCTAAAATCCAGCGACCTGACTGGGCATTTTGAGATTTTTGGACTTGGAACAATGCAAAGCATCAAGATGTTCAAAGGATTTGTGGTTGCGTGCTTATTTTTAAATGCTTCGTTTTGTTGGTGTTTATTAAACCCATTTTTGTAGCTGATATTGATAGAATAATATTGATATCATCAGCATAGGCAAGGATTTGCAAGGATTTATTATATATTGAACCAATGGTTGTGATTTGTGACATGCGTATTACTTTTTCCAGAGCCAGATTGAACAGTATACAGGAGAGAGGGTCTCAATGGCGCAGCCCGTTATTTGTTGGAAGGTTCAGGCAGTTCCCCATTAAACTTTTTTAAGAGTTAAGTTTTGTTAAATTTATCAACTGATTTGGTATTCCTAGCTCTTTCATTGCTTTGAACATTTCCCCCCTATTCTCAGAGCCGTAGGCTGCTTTGTAGTCAATAAATATGTGATGAGTATCTATGCCATATTCCAGTGTTTTTTTTTTAATTTGTTTCAAGGGTGCAGATTTCTGGGTCCATATTTCTTTTATAAGCTGCTGTAATGCCATTATGGTATCGTGGCCACCTTCTTTATATAGTTCAGTTGGGAGATTATTTATTGCGGTGATTTGTTTCTGGCTGGTTTTTTAACTGCATCTTTAACTTCAAGAATCGTTGATGGTTCCTCTTCCCTCTCGTCTGTTCCCCTTACCTCATCTCTTCAGTCTTCCAGGTTTTCTTCTGCTTCCTCTATATTAAGTGCCTGGTTAAAGTATTCCATCCATCTATTCAATAGATCTTTCCTTGTTGTCAATAGGTCGCCATTCTGACTTCTGCATTGTCTTCTGGTTGCTATGAATTCTTTTCTGCTGATGTTAACATTCTTATAAAATGATCTGAATTATTTCTCTCTATTGAGGTTTTCTATATATTTAAGTTCCTTATTTAAGTGGTTTCATTTTTTCCTTTGTGTATTCTCTTTTCTTTTCGTCTCTTTGTCTGGTAATTCTCTACAGATGGTCTAGTTTGTTGGGTAAGCATTCCAATATTCTACTATGTTTGAAATTGGAATTGTTTCTTACATGTAAATGAAGTATGTAAATGAGGACATTTAGCTGGTTCATCAGTAACATTTTTTTTTAATTTTAAATTTGGCTTCTCCCAAGAAACCTTTAATTGTGGAAACTACATTTCTAGTACTAGCAAATGACAATTAATGTACAAAAGTATCATAATAATATGTGAATTTCACATTCAATTATTATTAAGTATGCTATTTATAGTATAAACTAAATTTATATTTAGATAGGTGTTAATATTCGTTTATTCTGAAAATTTGAAAGTCAATATTGAAATTATCGATTTAAATATGCTTCTAATTAACACTAAACTCGAGAATATTTCATCAACAAGATTTCCAGTTTCATTTTTCTACAAGTTGAAATACCTATTTACTGATGCTGACATCACACAATGTTGATTATCCAAATACAATGGTAATTATTACATAAAATTCATAAAATGGCAAGTATCTTACAGGAAACTGTACTTAACAAGTTAATCAATAAAATCAAATGAAAAGAAATAGTGAATTATTGTTTCTCTACCTTTAGTAAACATATTCCATTAAAATGAATATTAAAATACTATTCATTAAAAAACTTGGCACTCTTGAAGTCATTATACCTAGACAGTAAAGCTAAGGAGAAAAGTTCAAAACTACATTAACAGCCAAATTATATATGCTATATACTATACCTGCAGTGTGTGCATTGCTTCCTTAATATCCCTACTCTGCACTTCTTCATAAAAAATAAGACTGAATCCAAAACATCTCTTTCCATCTTCGCGTGTTATGATATATGAATGAAAATTCGGAGCTTGAGTCACTGAATGTTTCTGAGTACGAAATTTGAGTCCAGCTGGTAGTGAAAACTATAAACAAATAATATAAAAAATATTAATAGTAACACTTGTTGGCTATAATAATGATTGTGATATTATTTCTTTCACAGTTTTTCCCAGTACTAATAATTGTTAAATTTTTTTAAATGTAAATCACGATTTATTACTAGATTCTAAGCTCTCTGAATAGATAGAGTCCTAATAGGAAGCAATAATAGATGTGAAAGAGGACAAAAATCTTGGTAGTAAACTAGTAGAACTGAAGTTCATCATTATTAGGGATTGTCTCTTAATTTAATAATCAAGAGAGAAAACATGATAGAGATTTTTATGTTCTACATGTATGAAACACTGCCTTTTGATAACATACAACATACAGAACATGTTGAACATACAACATATAGAACATTGACTAAGAGTGATTCAGTAACCTTGCCAATTTTGAAAAGCTTATTGATCGAGTATACATGATTAAATTGGTAGTCAGCTTAGTTGTGAAATAAGCTCTATTAGATTTCTGTAGGAATCATAAGAATCTATATATTTTTTTGATAGTCAAACTATGCTAATGGCATTGAATGCATCTAGTATAAGTCCGACTTAATATGGTACTTAGTCAAAATCTGACTACTCGATATTTTGTATACTTCATCTAATTTAGATAACGACTTACGTCATTATCTACGTCAGACATCGAAGTTGACATAGTTGCCAAAGTATAAAAAAATCCTGACTCCATTTTAAATCAAATAGGTCACATAATTATTGCAAAAGTATTACCATCTCTTTACAACGACTATTTAAATTCTTACGTGACATTTTTGAAATAAAACACACTAATTTTGTTCTAAAAAGAACATATTTTATTAAATAGGTAAAAATTTAAAACAAGAGGTATTCACTTTAAAATTTAAAATAATAAAGTACAAAAAGTGTCAACACCGCAACTGTCAAATAAGTGTTACCAATTTATGCCAAAATTTTACCTTCGTTCGATTACAGTTACAGTGTGTTCCGAACAAATGTTCTTGATAAAAACTCTTTATAATGGATTTATACAAATTAAATGAAACATATTATTGTGTATTTCTTTAAGTTAACATTAATAGAAATTTTTAAATATTATTTCAACGCGTATATAATAAAATATGTCTAGTGGCTGTAATGCCAGTGTACTTGGTAAAGTGATTCTAAAAAGAACACACCTGAACCCTAAATATTTCGTGTTGGTATCATATGACGTCACAGGCTATGACGCCGATGACGTGCATCGTTATATAAATTAGATGAAGTGTACCTAATTACCCTTATGTATGAATGATGATAAGTCTCATCATTCATACACTCTCATGTTGATAGGTCATCAGGAAGGAAATTAAAAAAATAATAATAAAAACAGTGGATCATCATACTAAACTTAAGACATCACTTTTACCATGAGGCACCCAACTCTTCTGCAGAGTTGATAGCATAAATTCTCTTTAAAATACAGCAGAAGATATATGGGCTAACTTTTCATATTAAAACAGTCCAAGCAGTTTGATGTAAACACTGATTTAAACCTTAAAAATCATTGCTTTAGAAAGCAGATTTTTAAGACAGTACACCAGAAGAATGTTTGGTGATATCCGATGGAAATATCATGTACCTAAGAATATCTACATGAGGGTACATGTTTTTCTAAAGTAGAAAAAAAAAGGACCTACCTAATTTGAAGCAGCAAAACAATTTAATCTTTCTAAAAGACAAATGAATATAAGAGTTACTAAAATCGCATATTTATGAACAAAATAGCAAGGGAATGAAGACACCATAAGGCATATTAGTGTGACATATTTTATATTTATATTGATTCACATCAGTTTATACAAGTCCCCAACATACACTAAGTAGTTAATTAGTTTTATGCTTACTTTTAGTATTTACAAATAATAAGGCAATATGTAAGCTTGTCTTGTATATCTATCAAAACATTATTATTACTTTATTTATTATTAAAAAATTACTATTACATGGAGACTTTGTATCATTAATAATGTGACATAAAAATATCAGATTACAATGTGTTTCTCATCCATTAGCATATAATGTACTAATTGCAATAATATACTTGTTTCTTAACAAACCTACATAAATAAATAAAAAATACATACAGGATTTTTTATTAATTTTGTTCTAAATCGCTAGTTAAGTACAGAGGAAATCAAAAACAAAGAGTAACAATATATAATGAAGAGAAAAGTTCCTTATCTTTATATTCTATGGCTTAATAATTTCCCCACCATTGTCACTCAAAATCTACTTTAATAATATTCTAATAATGAATATCTTTTCTTTGGAGATTAAACACTATTAAAATAATATAAGTAAGAATAATCAGTTTACATAATTATTATCACAAATAAATATTAAGTTATAGATATTAATATTTAAAAATATTGGTGTAGTTTTAGGATTATTAGTTTTATTGGGAAAATTATAATAAGTTAGTTAGTTCTATAACATACTTATTACAATAAATTATTTGAAACAGAAATAATAAGAAAAAATAATATATGTCTACATTTACATCAGTGTTGCTCTAAAATAAAATGTTTTTATGATATAATGTTTACTGAACATTATATTTCATAAACATATTATGCAAGTTTCTATCTATAATTTTATTATAAAAAGCAGATTTAGATAAGGATTTATATTTTTAAAAATATTCATGACTACAAAACATAATATACAATTTTAATTACCATGCATACAGCTGATTCGTCAAACGGATTTGTCTGTACATTGTTAGGATAGTGCGCCAAAACTTTTCCTTTATATGATCGTTCCAGTGGAGAGACATGTAGGTTGTCCTCTGAAAAGTAATTTAAAATAATAACATACACAACAAACTTCCAAAGACTTACCTGTAAGTTTATCTGGTTCTAAACCAGAGCTGTAATCAAGACCACATATTACAAAGTAATCAATCAACTTGCTCATTTTTTATGTTTGATCTGATATCAAAACTGTAAGGAATTGAGTAAATTAAACATCTTCTATAACACTTGATGATTAAACTTTGATTTTATTCTTCGTATGCTCATTGAGACTCGTGTCAGTTTCAATTATTTCTAATTTAATTCATTATGTGATTTGTAATCTCATTCAACATAACAATCTAAAACCAGATTACCCAAACAACCTTTCTCTTGCCTTTCACCACATTATCTTTCATTTTGCTGTCATTGTCAAAGTGTAGCTGTTAAAATTTTGAAAGAAAACTGTTTGTCACATCCAGAGATATGACATATCACTGGATATGTCCATGTCACATCTCACATCTTACTTCACGTCACATATTATGTGCACAGAAAAACCTAGATAGGTAACAAGAATAGCTAAGGTCAACGCACGTTTTTATTTATGCACCCTTCCGTTTGGTGGCACTGCTAGTCTCGTTCCTGGGCATGGAGCAAGGTTAGTACATATACAGGTTGTCTGGTAACTTTACACCAATCACCGTCGAGAATCTAATGGCGGGAATGACGTCACTGAGAATGCTACATTTAAATTCATTTGCTTTACTCCTTGAAATGAACTCGAAAAGCAACAATGATTGTAAATATATTAATCTGTGTATATCGAAAAAAATACGTTTGGACTTTTAATAACCATTTATTTCATTCAATCTTTAAAAGATGTGGGAGATAAGTACCTGTGAGTTACAGAAATCATGAAATATTATTGCAGCTAAACATATGTAGTAGAATACCATTACGATATTAAATTGGAAGTAGATTCTTTCTTGTGCATACATGTGACTAAAACAGGTTAATATACTATATTAATAATGAGTTGAATACAATTTACTTTTTTTAAATTATTTTTGAATTGAGTATAATGCTTGTAGTGGATTATTATAAATTCCTCCAAACAAGTAAACTATGCTGAAAAAGAGATTCAACTAAAGATTTATATATCAGAATTAGTAGTTTTCCCCTTAACTTCAATATATTTAAAGAACATCTGAATACATTACTGGATTATATATTCGAATATAAAAATATTAAAACATGATTCCATTAAATAGATACCTTTTAAGTTGTACATAATTAACAGTAAATTATAAAAATCAAAATCAGTGATTTAACACATTTTTACTGAACATTTAAATGACTATACCTACTTACCATCTTTTTCAGCTTTTAGGTTGTATTTTTAATATTTGGCTTTAAAGCTTTCAGCTTTTTTTCAGCTTTTTAGGTTGTATTTTTAATAGTTTGGCTTTAAAAGCATCTTCGTAATTTTCCATGCGAAAGTGTATACTACAAACTCTTTTATTAAAACATTACCACTTATCCTTCCTATGACACTTGCTCATCCATTGCTTTTGAATTTATACATTTTTTTGAAAATGAAAATAACATTAAATTCCTTCTTTCCTTTTTGGAATTTTTTGAATTATATTTGCAGATTGCTACACTACAAAAATTTCCACCAGTCATATGAATCAATAAAAAAATTAAATTAAGTTATGTTTTTCCTGCATTAATCCCAATGTTACCTTTACTATATAATACAGCAGAAATAAAATCCAGTAAGACACAACCACATTAAATGTATCTGAACACTTATATAAAAGTATTGGGTCCAAGTTTTATACTAAAAATCATTCATTAATATCTATAGACATATTATATGTCAAGATATTAACATAAACTAAAGCACTAACGATATTTAACAACAAAATATATCTTCAAACCACTTCTCCTATTTTGTTTTCAAACAATTCGTAAAATTGACCCACTGGGTGACGTCACACGTCATATTTCATTCTATCAATGTCATGAGTTACCATGCAACCTCCCTTTTACTAACCTTGGGCATGGAGGTAAGAAACCAAGGTTATTAAAAGACAGGTTGCATCTTATTATAACCGTGACGTACCCCAGGGGTCAATTTTACGAATTGAACAAAATACAGAATAAAATAAGTGAAGTTGTTTGGAGAATATATTTTGTTGTTAAATATCGTTAGTGTTTTAGTTTATGGGCAAATCTATAGAATAAGTGCCGAGAATTTGACATAAACGTCATGTCAAATTTGTGTCTGCGGTATTGCCATGTCCGTATTATGTGTATGTTTTATGCCTCAAATATGCTTTGAAACAGTACATTTTTATTATATTATTTTATAAAATCGGGTATTTTTTAAAATTTTTTGAATTTATATGAAACACGAACGAATGAATATTTGTTTCTTTTGATATTAGTTGCAGTTAGTTATTATAAAAAAAAATATAATTGGCCTTTGGTAGATTAGTAAATAAACTTGGCAATACTGTCAAAATTTTGAAAACAGTAGTTGCCAGATTGCAAAAGATGTTTAGCAGATTTCAATTTTATGATTTTTATGACTATTTTCTTATAATTTTGGGGTGAAATGGTACCTGAATATCGTTTTGTTAATGTATTAGCTAGTTACTGGAGCTTGTTCAGATCGATATTTTTTCAAATTTACGTTGCAGAGATTAAATTATCATTATTGACAATTTAATCCTTAAAATGTGAATAACACAGTAAAAATATATCGGTAAAGATGTTTTAATAACTTAAGAATTTAAAAGCTTAAAAAATTAAAGTTAATTTAAATTATAATAAATTAAATTTAAATTAATTAAACTTCTTTCAAAAACTTAAAAAAATGTTGAACATTAATTAATATTATATCGCATGCTCTTTCAAGGATTTATTTGTGATATGGCAACACTGCCAAATACAGATCTGTCACTAATCTTCTGTCAGTTCCTCGGCACTTGTTCTATAGGTCTGCCAGTTTATGTATATATCTTGAAATATAATGTGTCTATAGTCTATAGACATCACGGAGTATTTTTTGTGTTCATTTAATGCGGTTGTATTAAATACCTACTTACTGGATTTTATTTCTGCTGTATTATTATAGTAAAGGTAACATTGGGATTAATGTAGAAAACTGTTACAACATAAATTAATTCAATTTTTTGCGGCTATATTCAGCTTGTACTTTCGTTAAAGTTAACTCATGGATACTATTAGTAAAGAATATAGATGCATACTATAAGCATACTTATAGCAAGCAAATTTTTATAAATAAAGAATTTATTCTATATTTTATTCTTTAATTTTTTTATAACCACTTTGGCATTTTAATGTAATGGAATATAAAAATATAACCTCAACATAAGAAGAAAACCCATATAGTATACGAAACATATATTATTATCGTATATTACTTTTTCCTTACATTAAAATGAGTTTGCAACCCTTGGTTATTTTACATGCCTTTTGAATTTACCGCATGTATATATATACTTACGCCAGAGAACATACTTACGCACCCTAGCACAAGGCAATGGGCCAATCATCGTTTTACTTGTCAACACCGGACTGACACCACTAGGTGGGAGTGTGCTGTGATGTTCTGTCAAAAATAACTGTTGAAATCAAGGAATTTCAGAATATTAACATTACATTATTACTTTATTTGAGTAAACTCAATTTTGATTAATATATTTTCATGGGTTTGTTTACAGTATTTCGAAATACGTTGTACTCTTGTTTTTATTTTTTGATTAATTTTTTTTGGGGATAGATAACTAAAACTGTATAGACATCTGAGCGCAATATTTTCTCGCTTATGTTGGCATTCGCAAAAAGAATTGGATGGTGTGACTGGAACTGGATCTGGAAATTTATTATGCATGCTTATGTTTTAGAAATATGTTAAAATTGATTCTAATTAATTTTTATAAAATACTATTTATATAAATGAAAACGATGCTTTCATGTTTTTAAAGTTTACGGTTTATGCCCTAGGAATAGGGTAGTGGTAGTGGTACAACTGGTGGAACGTTGGAAGAGCTGAATAATCATTTTCTAGGTTTTATTAAAAATTTTATTGTTTTCCGCGGTACTATTCAATTAATATTTCAATTCTTTGTTCGAAATTGGTTGGAATATTATTTTGATCGTTACCGTGTGGAGACTAAACATCAAATTACTATAAATCAATATCACCATGAATGGAAGTGCAGAAGTAAGCCAAGACTCCTCAAGCTGCCCCTTTTTTGGGAAAAATATACAAAATGGTACTACTGAGCTTAACAAATTTCACATTTTGGATGAAACCGAGGGAAACGATGACTCTGAGAACTCAGCAGACTTCGACTCTGATATTCCAGATGATGAAATTGAAAAAATGTTGGAAGAGGCTTTAGAAAAGCGAAAGAGAAAAGCAGCAGAAGCCGGGTTAGTATAATAAGCTAGTGTTTTTTAAGCTATTTTTTAAATAACTTGTTTAGTGTAACAAATAACATAAGTATTTGTGTTGTTTTTTGAATTGCTTAGAAGAAAGTGCCTTGTCACTATTTTATTCAGGAAGGTGAATATACAGCAGTATGTTAATGGTATGTTAAACTAACTATATTTTTTGGTTTGAAACTGACTAAAATTGGTGCAATTTTAGTAAAATTTGACAATTGTATGTATGAAATCGTGAAGGTACAGAGTAAATGCAAAATGTGGGGGTACAACAGACAACTTTTTCAGAAAAAAGAAGATACATAAATTGAGGTATGTGAAATTAAAATCAGCTAATAAATAAAAAAGTTGTGAAATGAACAACAAAATCAGTGTTTTTGAATATTGTTAATAACTTTTTTATTGTTTATTAAAATTTGTTTGAATGCACCTGAACTTCAACTGTGTTTGAACTGTGTGCAAAAGATGGGCCAGATTGGTTAAAGCTCACTGTGATTCTTTGATTTTAGTGGCACCATAAATTTTTGTTACAAGGTCAAACAGTCAATAAATAGTACTACCTACAAGTGAAGCAATTTGAAAAAAGACCGGATTTGTGGAAAAACAACTCATGACTGTTGCCTCACAGTAATGCACTAGCTTGCACTTCATTGCTGTTAGTGAATTTTTGACCAAAAACAATACTGTAATGCTGCCCCAGCTCCCATGTTCACCAGACATGGCTTCATGTGACTTTTTTCTATTTCCACAAATAAAAAATTTAAGGGCTGTCGTTTCACAAGCATAGAATACACCAAGAGCGCATTGCTGATAGAACTAAAGGGACTACTTTGAAAGAGACAACAGTAATCTAGACCAATAAATAAAATAGTTTTTCAAAAAACGAAAATTTCCCTTGTTTTTTGAACACATGTACAGTTGAATTTATACTAATTAAATATATAATTATTTTTACCAATCATTTCTTCAACAAATATAGGGTGTCAAAAACAGGGAAATTTTTCACGTGTTTAAAACAGCTGGCATTTTACTTTTTCCTATCACCAAAAGCTTCGTTTTTATGGAACCGGACATCTTGGCTGCAACAAGAACTGTAACTCACTCTTTTGAGAGTTTACCACCGGAACATTTCTCTCCTTTAAACTTTAACGTGTGATCAGGTGTCAGTCTAAAAAATAATCCCATCTCGTCAGCATTAAAAATTTCCTTTCATCGCTATAGCCCGACCTGAAATGTAGCCACACATTTTCAACCCAGTCATTTGTAATTGATCTGTCAACAACTGCTGACTTACCTGCACTTTTTCCATGGACAATATTGTGGCGAGCTCGGAAACATTGAAACCAGGAAGCATTACACTTAAAATTATTCTTCAAAATCACAGCGAAAGCGTCAGCCCTTACCTGAAGCATCGGCCCACTCACGAGTACATTGCGCGTTGTTGTTTGAACCAATCGAGCAAAGCACTTTCAATGTCACTGTGATTTTATGACCGAACGCGTTTTCCTTTTTCACACTTTTAAATTGCAGAATAATTTTCTCTCGCTGTTTCATCATTCCAGCAATTGTTGAGCGTGACATTTTAAATTCCCGGGTAATCGAACTTGCGGAATCGCTGGAATCGATTTAGCAAATTATTGCAAATTGTTCCTCAATAGTAAATTGTTTCCGTGACATGTTTTTTATGAAGGCTAGACACAACTGAATTCAAATTCAGAAACTCTTAGCTTGGGTCAAATGGTGTAATGTAAACAAAATTTTGTAATACAATGCACCCGTCTTGGGAGGTCTAAATGTCTAAAGGACAAGCAATCAAGTGTAGATGCCTGCCCGGATGTACCATAACCATAAATTGATAAATCCTTACTTTTCATTTCGTGGTACTAAATATCGGTAATACCTGTGAGAAATGCAACACTACAATGTCCATTTTCATAACTTTACAGGATAGCACTTTTAAACTTATTTATTGAGATGCGGAAACAATATTATATTGAACATTGTATTTACTGTCATTTAGATCATGCGTTGGTTATAATTATTTACTATTTATTTATTATACAGTGTGTAAAAATGTCATAATTGAAAAAAATGGATGTTGTATCATCTGAGATACAGATATGAACTTGAAATTGTACGCTGTAACCAATATCTTAACTGCTAGTGTTCCAAGAAATACGTTTTTTTGTATGTCATTTTATGAGACCTACTATTTTGTTTGTTATATCCGATTGTATGTTATAGCCGGTGTCGCTGTAAACGATTTTGACTGTATTTATACAATTTCTGGTTTAGAGAGAAGCTTTACATATTTATTACTTCACATCAATAGTTATTACAAATAATATTAACAAAATTTAAATACAAAACTTACAATGGCAGTATTTGTAACAATTTACAACAAGCTCCAGATGTTGGGACACTTAAAGGAATTTAAATTATTATTTATTTATTTATTTATTTATTTATATACGGCATCCATTTACTTACAATTTTTACAAAGTTACATCTTAAAAACAATATATTATTAAAATAACAATCACAAGTTTTAAAAAGTTACACCTTAACAACAATAAATTATTAAAATAACAAACACCTCAGAATAATACAAACATATAAGAATAATACAGATGTACAACCAACTTATTGTAAGATATTTTTTAGTTGTTTTTTAAACAAACTAATTTTGGAGTAAAAAATATCTATTTGTCTTGGCAAGCTATTAGCACTCCGGACCAATCGTGTAGTTGGTTCATTGATACCATAATTAGTGTGGTGAAATGGCATTATTAAAATGAAAATATCTAGATTTTTTAACAGAGTTTACATTGAGGTTAACCTTTAAACAAAACAATTGAAAAAATTGGTTATGTACCGAATGTCAGAAAAGGATAATATTAACTGTCATTTGTCGAAATAAAATATCAAACCTTTTTGAAACATTAATTTTAATTATAACAGTTAACTTTATTTAAAAGAAGACTGATATGACAATTAGCGAATCCATAAAACTTATAATTTTTTTAGTTTGTCGTGAGAGCAATTTTTTTTATTAATGAAAAATGTCTATTTTTACTTAAAAAAAATTTATCAAAAAATACCTTATATCACTCTGGTTAGTATTTTCTTCAAAAAGATTTTGAATATTTTCAAATTCAAATTTTCAAATAACGAATTTTAAAAAAATCAAACGCTTTGGCGTTCCATCGTCGAGTAATTTCATTCTCCCAAAACCGATCTCTTGTCCGCATCAGCGAAAAGATTCCTGATTGTTTGACGCGCAACATCCAATAGGCAGCATCAACATCAAACAAATGCAATTAGAATTATTATATACATATCACAAATGTTTATATTGTCAATCTTAGTGACGCAAAAAGATTGAAAATATTTTTCGGGGTTTTAACACATACGAAGGGAAATCTAAAATAAATCGAAATCTACATTCATCAGGAACAAAAATATGAATGTTATGAGTTACTTTTAAGACACCCTATATAAATTTGTTTCATCATCTTGGTGCTACAGCCCTTAGAGGGTCTCGACCTTCTCAAGCTTTCTACGCCATTCTGTTCTGTCCCTTGCTTGTATTTTTCAGTTGTCGACTCCGATCTTCTCCGCATCTTGTGTTACCCCATCCATCCACCTCAGCTTTGGTCTACCCCGTCTTCTCATTCCCACGGCTTGAGCTGTTAGAATCTTTTTTATCATGTTCGATTCAGGGGCCCGGGCTACATGCCCCGCCCACTGCAGGCGGTTTCGACCAACAACTTGTTAACAAAAACTTACGTATCGCAGGAACCGGAGGTATCCGCATTCACTCACTTTGATGTAATTGTTACAGACTTATCTCCAGAATCAATAGAAAATTTAGAGGATCTGTAGAGTAGGGAGGGCGAGTTTAGTTCCACAGCACTTAGGCCACAATTGACCCATTGTGCATCCTCCCAGGGAATCGTCGTCCTCAGCTTATTGTCCATCCTGCCATTTCTAGGAAGGTGGACAAGTCACCAGGAGATATCTTCCTTATGTTTTCAGGCGTGGACCAGGACTCGTCGAACGCGTACTCTCGTATTAAGGATAACTCTGGACATTCACATAGGACATACTATACAGTTTGATCTTCTCGTTCACACTTCCTACATAGAGGTGTGTCTACTAGCCCCAGTGTGTGGAGGTGTTTGCTTAGATGACAATAACCAGTTAAAAAACCAACTGTCAAGCGTGGGTTTTCCTGGTCATTCCCAAGAACTTCCTTTGTTGCTGACTTTTCAAGGTTACTTGGTGTTATCCTTGTCGTTCCTCCCATCTTTTTACGGTTTGCGTATGGGAGTGACATTTGACAATTCCCGCGATTGTTGTATTTGACCAACCAAAAAGATCCCCAGGTCCTAAGAGTCTTAAGCCTACCGCCTTCCTAGCCAATTGGTCAGCAATGCGGTTGCCTTTATTCCTATGACGTCCTTTAACCCACCTCAGGATGGTAATACCATCCGAAGCTTGGGTTAGTGACTCGTGACACTACATTACTAACCCCGAAGTGATACGTGGTCTATTCAAGGTTAGTAGCGCTTGTCTGCCATCTGTGCAGATTATTATAATTTTCCCGGCTATACCATTTTGGGTCTTCTCTTTTGTGGCTATGGAGATACCAGCCAGTTTTGTCTGAACTACGCTGTCATTTTTGCCCATACCCCACTTTATGCTTAGGTTCAGTGATCTGGAGTATATCCCGCATCCTGAGCCTTCTTTAATTTTGGAACCACCGGTTTATATGCAATAGTCATTTGCCACGTTTGTCTCCTTTTACTGTCTTGTTTCGATTTTGTAGGGTTTGTCAAAGACAAACTTTAGTTCAGTTGAGTCGCAGCCTGTCTGTAGCAGGGGTAGCGAATCCATCTCTCCGCTCCCGAAACGAGTTATCCATTGTCCCATTCCTACATCAAGGTTTGCACCAGCTGAGCGCAGTCGCATGATTGTCACCAGCGCCACTTCTTTGACATATATGTCTAGAGGCGTGATGCCAATTATTAACTCCTAACTTAAAGTTTCCGGCGATATCGAGTGCAAGAAAGAACAACCCGTCACGTAGGCGAATTAGAGGTAGGATACTTCAGAATGTTCTAGAACATAGTAACTTTGGTATATATATGTAACGATGTTATGAGTAAGTTTAGTTGCTAAGATATTACCGAACTGTAAACTTATAAATAAATATATTTATATAAATTCGAACCGCTCGTTTTATTTAAAAACACTACAGTATTATCGTCTTCCTATGTGCCTATTTTTAAAAGTACGGGGTAGTGATCCCCTGATCCTTCGTTTGAGGTTCGGCTTTTTTGTAGTCCTAGTCACTCTACATGCTTAACTACATTTGGATATAGCCACTGCTATATCCAAATGTAGTTAAGCATGTATAAGAGTTACCAAAGACAGGGGTGAATGGAGGATTGTTGTGAAGAAGGATTTGGCTTATAACGAGCTGTGATGCCACTGATGATGATGATAGTGATATATCCAAATTTGCTGGTAGATCATTTCACGGAAAGTGAGTCGGTTCTATGGGCCCAATTGCCATAGTGTCTTCTTTGTTCACTAGGTAATTATTTAATATCTTTCTGTTACTGTTTGTAGGCCTATTAGTTTAGTAAAGGTATCTGACCTTTAGGTCTCCTATTATTATGGACGGTTCTTCTATGTTCAGGAACGCATCCAGGTCGTCATCGTTTAAAGGAACTGTTGACCCTACATATGAATTGATCCTTATTTCACCTTGTCTCATCTGGACTTTTATTGTTGCTTCCACAATGTTTAATGCTGGTGTCTGTTGTAATGTATGATTTATTGCTTTTCTCACTAGTATAGCAGTTCCTCCCGAATTTGCTCTGTGGTTGTTCCTGTAGATGTCGTATCCCGGAAACTTGATGTTGATGGTATGAGTTAGTTTAGTTTCTTGTAATGCTACGACGTCCATTGGAGTCTATCTTCTGGTGTCCCTTAGGTTAGGTAACCTTAGTTCAGTGCAATTTTTATGTTTTTGATCGCCTCATTTAAAATTTTAGCTCTTCTTCTACTAGTCCTTTTTGCTGTTCTTTTGAGATTAGTATTATCGAATCTGTTGATGGATTTTGTGTGGGTTTGGTGATTTGGGCGTACGATTTTTTAGCCTTTGATAATAAATTTCCTCATAAAAAATATTTAAAAATTCCTTTATAAAAGGTATATATTAATTTTAAAAAGAACGTTTTGGAAATAATACTTCATCATCAGTGTTATCCTAAAAGTATAACCACTTTAATCAAAGCAAACATGAAATTTAAAATTTTGACCATACATTAATGTGGTTAATACTTACTGCATGTACATGTTTTGAGCCACTAAATACTTGGTAAAAAGTTTGGTAAAAATGTGTGTAGGTAGGCAACTAACTATACAGATATCTGAATTCAGTGGTGGTGAATTAAAGATTTTTATAAAAGGCCCTTTATGTTTTTTTTACCATTTGGTACCTGGAATATGGAAACCAGATATGTGTAGGAAGTTATCTTCTTCTTTTTGTGCCACTCCTATCGGAGATTGGAAATCATCAAGGCTATTCTGACCTTGTTTACGGCTGACCTAAAGAGTTCATTAGTGGTGCAGCCAAACCACTCTCTCAAATTCCGCAACCATGACATTCTTCTACGGCCCGGATTCCGTTTTCCTTCTATTTTTCCCAGCATTATATTTTGAAGTAATGCGTATTTATGTCCTCTCATCAGGTGACCAAAATATTCGAGTTTTCTTCGCTTTAGCGTTAACAAAATCTCTGGGTCTTTTCCTATTCTTCGTATTACTTCACAGTTTGTTATACAGTTATATAAAAGGAAGTTATACAGTTATATAAAATATATTATACCTTTTATAAAGGAACTTTTAAATAATTTTTTGTGATACATGGTATACAGCCACCTACAGGAATTTAGTTTCCCTGTGGACATTTCCTTATATTTGACATTGTTAATGTTGAATTAGTCTGAATGTTTATTCAGAATTCTTAGTTACTTTATTTTTAGGAAATAAAATTAACTAAAAATAATTTAGTGCAGGGAAAAATATTGTTAAACTTATTAATAGTTTTTAATATGTCAAATAATATTAACAAACTTTTTTTTATATATTTCTAGTTTAGATGAAGAAGAAATTCCATTTGAAGAAAAAAACAAGATCCTCTTAATTGAAAAAGGACAAAACCACTTCGATGTTCTTCCAGAAGGGTGGATTCAAGTAACTCACAATAGTGGAATGCCTATTTATTTACAAAAAGATTCTAGGGTTTGTTCATTATCTAGGCCTTATTTTCTAGGTCCAGGTTCAGCTAGAAAACACCATATACCGGTTAATGCCATACCATGTTTAAACTACAGAAAAGCTATAGAAAAAGAAGAATCAGAGTCCAAAGAACCAGAAACTAATAATCATTGCGATCAGAGCTTTCCTAATGCTAAGATCGAAACTGTTCAGGAGAATCTTCAAATGCAGAACCTCCCTCCTGAACAGGTTCGGGAGTATTGTGAGAAACTGTTTAAATTCCAAACCATGAAAGTATTGAGATTTAAATCTTGGTCCGAAAGGAGAAAATTTACAAAACGATTAAAACAAAAAAAGCAGTTACAACGACTTACACTTCCAGATGGTACCAAATTAATAACTTTTCCAATCAGAAAATCAGATAGTTCAGAAAATAACACAAATTCTAAAAAAGAATGGGTCATGAACCCCAACGGAAAGTCATATGTGTGCATTCTTCATGAATATGTTCAACATGTTTTGAAGAAGCAACCCACATATCAATTTACCGAACTAGAAAATGCCGCAACTCCTTATGCTGCAACAGTTATTATCAAAGATATGAGATACGGAGTTGGATACGGGACCAGTAAAAAGCAAGCCAAATCTGACGCAGCCAAGGCTACCTTAGAAATCCTTATTCCGGAAATGAAATCAAAAATTGTTCCTGATAATCAAACAGGTAAATATGAAACAAATTTTTAGAATATACGGCAATTTTCCTAAATTTACTACTTTATTTCAACAGTTAATTAATGAGTCATTAACTTTAATTGCTACTATACAGTGTAGGAAAAAGTTTATGGTCGGTATGGACCTTACGTGAGATGGAGTGAGAAACAGCTGTTTAGAAAGAGAGAGGTATATTAGGTCCGCCCTTTATATCGCCAAACATGCATGCCTGGAAATAATTAAAAAGGGGAAGTTCAACGTTGCCAAACTTATTGGATTGATTTGACCTGTTGATTTTTTTTGCATTTGAACAATGTTCTCCCAATCTGCCCAATCCAATTTGGGCGAAATTGATTTAAATGGCAGCTTACTGTTTTTTTATTAGGAATATGCCACAAGTTTACTTTACAATAAGTTTAATATAACATTAGGACTTCGGAAATCGTTTTATATAAATAAAATTTATTAATGTTTCGTATTTTAAGTATGATTTCCGAATTAAAAATCTAAACATCAAAATAAGCGTATTTTAAAGTCACATTGTGCCTTATTCTCAATATGCAATAATAAACTGCATACAATAACGCCACATTAAAAAATATTCATACACAATAAATGTTTGGCAACGTCGGTCTGGTCTGGTCTGGTTTGGCCGACCGAGTAACGAGTAGTAGAGGTGGGTCGTGGTAGTTTTATCGTTAAGAGCGTAGGCACAAAATTTCGTTCCAATATTTTTTAAATGCATTAATTTTTTGCGAATCCTGAGAAAACTAATAAATATTTTTGAAAAATTTAAACGCAGAATGAAACAATACATTATTACCGAGGGCCGAAAGTCCCTGAAAACTTCTATAATGTTTATTTTAATAAGTTATGGGGCTTAAAAAAAATTTGTGTGATTTTTAATTTCAAATATCTCATTCAAAAACCTTTTTGTTTATTCTAAGGGACTTTCGGCCCTTGGTAATAATGTAATCTTTTATTCTGCATTTAAATTTTTCAAAAATATTTGTTAGTTTTCTCAGGATTCCAAAAAAATGAATGTATTTAAAAATTTAAATTTTTGTAAACAAGTAACTATGATTGTTTAAAAGTAGTTTCAAGTAAGAGAGTACTTACATAAACAAACATAATGGCTATTATCGTTTATGTGTATATTTATTGAAGTGAAAGAAACTAATGATATATTTATTATAACTTGAAAAATAAACTAAACAATACAAATAGTAAATCGTACTTACATTTAGATTACACGTTATTATTAAATCGCGAATAGTCTAAATTGGCATTAAAAAACATAAGTTTTTCTACTTTACTTTACTTCTTATTAACCGTCTTCTTTTTTTTTATTTTAAATTAAACCAGATTTTGAACATGTGTTCACATTTACAATACTTTATGAATATAGTGGTTAAGTTAGGATATACATGGCGATGGTTTTTCCACCGTTGTAATGGACTCTCGATACAGGTGTACGTGTAGATGAGCCATCTCCAATTAATTGATCAAAATTACACCATGGATTTAAGTCATCTTTATTGGTTTCTTTTTCTTGTACTGGTTGATTTTCAATAGTACAATCTTCTTATTCTTTAATTATAGAAGTAACCAGCTTCTTAACTTTTTCTTTTATTTTTTATCTTCATTTTTATCAGAAAAACCGTGCACTTTAAATGGTGAATCCATAAATGTACATAATGACAATGTGCCACTCTGTTCTATCCCTTTAAATCGTTTTGCTAAACCCGATATTAGTAATTGTACTAAGTCGGATACTATGGATGTAAGGTTACCGTTTGCTAAAATTTGATTGCAAGATTCTTGCAGGCAGCGTACCATAACAATCACTGAACTACCCTTCAAGTATTTTTGGTCACTCATTGTACTTGTTATTTCTTTAAACGGCCGCAAAATTTGGGAAAGCTGAGAACAAATAATCCAGTGTTCTTTATTTAGATTTGGTCTAAGTCTGTATTATTTAATACCGATGTGGAACGGATTGCCTCTTCTAACTCGGTCATTTTTTTTTAACATGTAGTAGGTGAAGTTCTACCTAGTTTCCCCGTCTTGGATTGGCCGTTTGGGAACTTTGTTATGTTGTAATTAATACTTTAAAAGCCTTTCTGAAGATAAGGTACTTTTTTTTAAATGTGTTTTTTGCAGAATTGTCGAAAATAGGACTTTTTATTTTAATGTTTTGACATAACATTCCTGTAGTAATGAACCTGACAGTTTTTTCTTGTTGGCAGTTTATATCCAGGAATCCACCCTGCAAACTTTTTAAAAGCTGGTTCTTCACCTATGGAAAACGGATGAAACGAGTCTTTGCATAAGTTTAGTAAATCTTGAAAATCAACCAGTACAAGAAAAAGAAACTGATAAAGATGACTTAAGTCCATGGTGTATTTTTGATGAATTAATTGGACGTGACTCATCTAAACATACACCTGTATCGAGAGATATAAAAGAAGTCGACATGTATTTGTCTGATGATATATTACCCACAAAAAATTTCGAACGGAGATTGGAACTTTCCATTACCGTGGTGGAAAAACCATCGTCATGTATATCCTAACTTAACCACTATATTCATAAAATATTGTAGTATTGTAACAAAATCTTTTCCTTGTGAACACATGTTTAAAATCTGGTTTAATTTTAAATAAAAGAAGAACACGGTTAACAAGAAAAGTGGAAAAACTTGTTTTTAAATGTCAATTTAGACGATTCGCGATTTAATAATGTGTAATGTAAATGTAAGTACTATTTGTATTGTTTAATTTATTTTTCAAGTTATAAGAAATATATCCTTCGTTAGGTTCTTTTACTTCAATACTTATACACATAAATGATAATAGCCAATATGTTTGTGTACTCGCTAATTTCAATACTGGTAAACAATCAATTAGTTACAGTTTACGAAAAACGGTTCCGATAAAAATTTAAAAAACGAGAGGATCCACCTCTAGTTTTTTTAGGTATATTAGGATCGGAACCAGAGAATATGTAAAATATCTCTGATCGGAACTATTCGTCTCACGAATGAGCAATGCGTGTTAAAAATATTTATGGAGGGGAGACCAAGGGGAAATATGATTGTTATCTTTGTCTATTCGCTGAAAATATGATTTTATATCTGCGTTAGATATCCTGTTGAATTTTACCATACCGACCATAAACTTTTACCTACACTGTATATCCATGTCCCATATATTTATGGGCTTATAGTATATGCCCGAACTTGAGGAAATCACGTCTGCTGATCACAATGCGGGTACGCTGATTCAGAATATGAATTCGGTTTAAGCCCATTACATTAAACACGAAAATCACTTATTTATTCTTTCTTAATATCATCCGCCCATCTCATTTGTGGTCTTCCTCTGCTTCTCTTTCCTAACCATGATCTCCATGTTTCTTTGAAATGCAACTCCATGCATTTCAAAGAAACATGAGAATTTTGAGCTGTTGCTAAATAAAATCAAGTATAGCGAATACTGTTGGCAACATGGAGATCCCAAAATAATATCCATGCTTTTGCGTCAGCAGTCTGGATCACAAAATATCCATGTTCTTCGTGCGAGTGGGACAGTCGAGCACGAAATTTACATTACGTTAAGAAAGAGTGGCCACTCAGAGAAAGACTTGTACTGGGACAAAAAAAATGTGCAACGTGATACACTAGTTAACCCACAATTAGTTCTTTTGCCTCCTCTTCACATAAAATTATGATTGATAAAGCAGTTTTCAAAGCTTTAGGTAAACAAGGTGACTGCTTTAAATATCTGTGCGACAAATTTTTGTGCACTTTCTGAAGCTAAACTTAAAAGAAGTAGTTTTTGTAGGCCCTCAAGTTCGAACCTTAAAATCGGACAGATTGTTCCAGAATACAATGACCCAGGATGAATCTGAAACAACATCTGAATCTGAAAAATTTACAACTTTGCAGATAAATTCAAGTTGAATCATACATACTGACGACAACGTCACATTTTCCCTAGAACCCAAATCTTTGCCAAAACATTGTAAAATAGACTTCTTCTATCTGAACGTATATTCTTCGAAAAGTCAGAAGAAGGTTTTTGTCAATTTTTAAGGATTAAACAGATTCTGCAATAATCCACTAACTTGTTTATTAAATAATAATTCAATTTTCTCCTTTTATCGGAACAAAAATATTTTTTTCTAAAGAGTAAACGTCCAATTTTACTGGTCTATAAAAATCTAATAAAACACGAGTCACTCGCTACAATATATAAATTAATGCGAATAATCCCATGCAGAAAGACCACTGAGGTTATTAACGCCATGCTATCCAACAGATGCTTTAAAGTTATATTGGGAGACAAGACTAGTACCCAAAGAAAACTGAATAATGGACTTCCACTAGGATCCGTGCTGGCCCCCTTGCTTTTCAGTCTCTATATAGCAGACATGCCAGAAACCACATCAAAAAAGTTTGGATACGCAGACGACTGGACGCTTGCCGCAAGTCATAAAGAATTCGAGGTCACTGAACGCGTTCTAACAAACGATTTAAATGCCCTAGGGAATTATTTCCGAAAATGGAAATTGCAACCCAATCCAACTAAGACAGAAGTGTCCTGCTTCCATTTATATAACAAGATGGCCAACTATCAACCTCAAATCAATTTTGGGGATAGACTCCTTAAATATAATAAACACCCAAAATACTTAGGTGTTACACTTGACAGAACGCTGAACTTTAAAGAGCATCTTACTAAGACTGCTGCAAAACTCCGAACTCGTAACAACATCCTGCAAAAGCTCTGCAGCACTACCTGGGGCTCCTCAGCACCCACACTTAGATTGACAGCATTAGGACTGGTATACCCCGTAGTGGAATACTGTGCACCAGTATGGATAAACAGTCCACATACTCACCGTGTTGATGTCCAACTCAACCAAGCCATGCGAACTATATCCGGCACAATCAAGGCCACGCCCACTTACTGGTTACCAGCTTTGAGTCATATAGCTCCACCACCCATCCGCCGGGAACATGCCCTTGTCAGAGAATTTACAAAAATCAATACTGATCCTGAGCTCCGCTCCCATGTCGGAACTTCCGCCAGAGACATAAATAGGCTCCGTTCAAGACACCCGCCTCTAAAAACAGCAAAAAGGCTAGTAGATCAAAATTTTAATGTAACTGAACGGTGGAGAGAACAATGGGAGAATAACGCTGCACTGGAAGGTGCTAACTGGAACATGCCATGTATTACAAGCAAACCTGAGGGCTTCAACCAACCGAGACGAATTTGGACCACACTCAATAGAATAAGGACGAACTGTGGCAGATGTTCCGACTCACTTTTTAGATGGGGAAAAATACAATCACCAAATTGCGACTGCGGCGCCGAAAGGCAAACAGTAAAACACATGGTAGAGGAATCCCGATTAGATCCTATAATGGCAACCCTTCCTGGCTTGATTTCCTGGCTGCTACAAAAGAGTCAATCGAATATATTTATAATCTAGATGTTTGTTTGTAGAATAATATTTTTATATTTACTGTTGTCTGTAATTTATATAATTTATATATTTATATTTATATGAACCTGTGATGTAGCCATACGCTAAATAAATAATAACTCGCTACAATTGTGGTACTTTACTGTAAGTTAAGTTCTACCTCTCGTTCGATGATTTCGATGGGCCGGTCGTAGTGAGGATGGATGACGACAGGTTAATAAGAATAACCCTATCCAATAAAATACAGCAGAACACCAAAGGCAACTCCACGGAAAAGATGGGAGGGTGAAGTGGCAGCGGAGGCATAAAAGTTTATGAACGTCATAATTGGCAGCTGAGCGGCATGGAACCAGAAATGCGCCATTGGAAGAACACAAACATCTAAAAGGGATAAGCATAAGAAGATCGTCTTATATTTATGTATTCAAAAGGGCTTTTTCTCACTTCTTTTGATCCGTAATATCTCTCGATATTATTGATTACCAATTTAAGGGGTGGAATCCATATAATAATTTCATATTTACGCCTAGAATGGTACAATATGCACCGGTAATTCACATTTTATTACTTATATCTAGTTTACAAGTCGTTGGTCATCTTTTTTCCCGTTTAGTCCATCATACTCTTGAAACATAGCTGACACTTAGTCGAACTACTGTAATATATAGATTAGGGGTGGACTGCCTTTTTTGTAGGGGTTCATACAGAAATGCAGGATGAGGCACTCCGGAAGTTAATAAGTAGAGAAAGCATAGCTTTCTTATCATCTATTGTTTTTAATTTAATTCAATTCGATTCGATTTATTTTAATTTTATTTTTTAAGATACACTCATGGGACTGCGTTTACTACTCCATGCAGTGTATGGTCGCGCGATCGTGACATTTTATCATTTCAATCGGTTCTATTTTTTTCATGGCGATCCACCGTTCCGTCCGTAGCTCGCGATAAGAAAGCTATGCTTTAAAAACCTGCAGTGAGCCATAGGGCAAAACGAAAACAATTGATAGTAATAGTATTTATTAAAAAAAATAAGGTACAGATATGTAAGTATACATAGCGATGGTATTACTTATAATAAACTTGGAATTTCCTTTATCTGATAGTTTTGTTATTTCTTAAAATAATGTATTTTAATTTGTTGTTTTTAAGGGGACTCTACGAAAAAAGATAAAGATCAAGATCTGTCTTTCTTTGACGAAATACGAGTAGAAGATCCCAGAGTTTTTGAATTTTGTGCCAAAACTACCGAGCCAGCTCCTTACGACATACTTTTGACTTGTCTTCAGAGAAATTTCGGCTTAGACGATCTTCAAATTAGTTATCAAGGAAATACTACCAAGTCCCATGAATTCACCATGACTGTAGGTAAGAAAACTGTATATTTATTACTACTACATATATGTAACTAGATAATTAAGTATTAACCTTAATAATTTCAGCCACATTTTCAAACCGCAAGGTTTTGCTTAAATCATTTGCGCAAGGCTATCTACGTTCAGTCGAGTGGATAGCTCAAGGAACTGGCGGAAGCACTTCGTTATGAGTGGTATAGTAGATACTTCTTTTAAGCCACATTCTAAACAGAAATTTTTAGAATGTAGCTTAAAATTCGTGAAAAAATTTTAATTCTGTTGCGTTCTGCACATACGATGACCTCAATATAACAATTGGGGTCAACCTGAAGGGGGAGAGAAGATCTTCTGTTCAATCTAGAACTCGCTGGTTTCCCCCTTTCGAAATGGGTATGTATATTCAACTAAAGACAAGAAATCAAAGCCAGTGGACTGTATAAAACTCCATTTTAAAAAGGTGTAAAATTAAACATAAATATACATAACCAAATATACCATTATAATTAAAGAAGAATATATTACTTAAAAGAAGAATATATTACAAACTTAACTATTAGCTACTATGAAACACACCCAACAGACACACCGAAAGACAACGATAAACCAACCAAAACAAAAATGTCAATTCTATAAAAAACCACTGACAAAACAAAAGACAAAACCTACCATAGCCGCAAACTTACTATACATAAAAAGATAAAAGCCAAATTAATGATCTTACAAAAAAATCAACCTAAATAAGGATATAATATTTTAAAGTTGTAAAAACAAATTAAGAATGCGGTGCATACAAATAATTAATAAGTACAATTATTAAAACAAAACTTACAAGAAATAAAATCGGTGTTAACAAAATACACAAAAAAAATATACAATACAGTAAATAAACCCAAACAAATGCAAAATGTCCAATTAACAATGTTCAATCTCGATCGCGGCACAAATACGATGAAGTTCCAAATATCAAATAAATATACCAAGTGCTACTTAATATATGCAGCAACAAATTAATATGGTGTATTGTTTCTTACCCCATGAAAAAGATAGCCCCAACGCCATCGCAAATTATGTCTTCAGCGACACTTCAACTACCAAAAGTTGTGATGCACATTAGCGTCTTTCTTGGCCGATGCGGAATCAGGTACTCTTCGTCTTCAACGTACACATGTGCATCGGTTGAGAGATGCATTTCGACTCTGGTTTTTTATGTAACGCAAACCCTTATTTTAGGTACACACACACATGTGCTGATATTTCTCAGGTGGCCCGCCTTGCAATCTTCAGCCCTTAAAACGGCTGTGTCGCTTACATGAAAATCTGGTTTAAAATATACGAGGAGAATAGAAACTATTAAAAAGTCTGTTAATACATTTACAAATGTTTATATACAGTTGCGAAACTGCAACAAATTCATCTGTAAAAAATATGAGTCGCATGACTCAATATTGGATTCATACACCGTAAGGTGTATAGCTGGATTAGATAAAATACCAGTAGAACTCTTAAAACTAGTGGAAGAGGACAACTTGAAAGTATTGGCAGATTTATTCAACACGGTGTACGATACGGGAATAATACCACAGGAGTGGCTAAAGTCAGCATTTATAACCATCCCTAAAAAACAAGCAGCAAAAGAGTGCTCTGATTATCGAACACTGAGCCTCATGAGTCATACTTTAAAAGTTCTGCTAAAAATAATACATAAGAGAATATACGAAAGGCTAGAGGAGGATATTAGCGAGACGCAGTTCGGGTTCCGAAATGGAATGGGTACTCGAGAAGAACTATTTGCCATCAACATATTAATTCAGCGATGTCGGGATGTGAATGTTGATCTACACTTGTGCTTCGTTGACTACGAAAAAGCTTTCGATAAAGTAAGACATGAAAAACTAATATCAATACTTATGAACAAGCGCATTGACAGTAAAATCATAAATATAGTGCAAACATTATATTGGAACCAAAGTGCCATAGTTCAAATTGATGGGCAACACTCAGAAGAAATGAGGATCTGTAGAGGAGTTAGACAGGGATGTGTGTTATCACCACTTTTGTTTAACTTATATTCTGAAGAAATTTTCCAAAACACGCTCAATAATATCGAAGCGGGAGTCACCGTTAACGGAAAATTAATTAATAATTTAAGATATGCAGACGACACTGTGATCATAGCAACGAGTATAGAGGATCTACAACATCTTATCGAAAGCTTGAGTATAAATAGTGCTGAGATGGGAATTACTGTAAACGCCAAAAAAACGAAGTACATGCTGATTACAAAAAGGCCACAAAATATACATCACCTATTGACAATAAATGGTAACGTGATAGAACAAGTAGAAAAATATCAGTATTTGGGAACTTTGATCAATGAAACCAATGATCATACTGTAGAAATAAACAGACGAATAGAGATTGCCAGATCAGCATTTATACGAATGAAGCCACTCCTAACGTGCAAAAATCTAAATTTGGAGATCAGACTACGTACCATTCGCTGTTATATATTTTCAATATTATTATATGGAGCTGAGACTTGGACATTAAAAAAATGTAATTTAAAAAGAATCGAGGCCTTCGAACTCTGGTTATACCGCAGAGTATTGAAAATATCATGGACTGATAGAATTACAAATAAAGAAGTACTGGAGAGGGTTGGTAAAGAAACAGAACTAATCACCACTATACAAACCAGAAAACTGGAATACCTAGGCCACGTGATGAGGGGACCAAAATATGAAATTTTGAGACTGATAATACAGGGAAAGATTCAAGGAAGATCTGTTGGCCGAAGGCAGAACTCATGGTTAAAGAATCTACGTGATTGGTACCAATGCAGATCGATTGATTTGTTTAGAGCAGCAAGTTCTAAAATAAAAATAGCCATTATGATTGCCAACCTCCGTAGGGAGACGGCACTCTAAGAAGAAGACACCGTAAGGCGCTAGAAAAACGATATTTAAAATCACTTTGACTGAAATACGAACATATAACCAGTAGAAATTATGATTAGGTGCGACATTCATATGGTAACACAAGGAAAACATGTAAATAAATACTGGATAAAATTAACGCAACTTATCTGCAAAAGCGAGTCGTTTTTGTACGGACCTCTACAGACTTCTGTCGACTATCGATCATGCTGAAGACCAAACCAGAACTCCTTTGAAAAGAGGACATTTTGTTATTATAGCAAAGTTCATTTCCCATACTTTTAAGGTCATTACCTATGTGTACCAGACCAGACACTTGTCTTAGCGGTAATCTTCTAGTTTCTTGGAAACGATAAATTATGTTTCTCACCTTAAATTCGTTGTCATATTAAAATACGCTGGAATACAGACGGTTATAAAACCAATGAGGGGAGTTGGAGCTGGAGTAAACGCAGAAAAACCGAGCCTTAGTGAAAATTTAGATAATCACTTCTTTATCCTCCAAGCAGAAATGTATGCTAAAGAGATTATATAAATAGAGAATTTATGCTCAGAATATAAATTTTCAGAACAATTTCTCAAGTGAAAATCGAAACGTCAAAATAAACATTTTAAACTAAAATTGTGGGTAATAAAATAAAATAAATCAGCATACATTTAACACCAGGGAATATTATTGAACATTCATTGCACTGAACAGCACCAGTGCAACCAAAGTGCAGTATTACCCCACACCCGCTTACATTTTTTCGTACAGGCCATAACCCCTTCTGTAAGGACTGCCCTCAATTTCTATTATATATACTGTAATATACAGGGTGATTCAGAAAAAGGTAACATTGTCTCTAGGATAGGTAAAAAACTGAAAAGTAATTGGGGTTTGTTTAGTAAAAATTTTTGGGCGTAGAAGAGAAGTCATTTACACATTTTTTACGATTTTGCCGAAACTGCTGGAAACATTTTAATGAAATTTATATCTGACTCTCATAGATGGTGCTAGTTACATTTCGTCCATAGAATTATTCAACATAACTTTTTTAAGACTAGAATTATTAATCAAAATTCCAAGTGAACTTAAACTTACATAAAAAGGTACTCTTGGTAAAACTCGATGCTGATATAAGGTATCATCTCAAAGTGTACTCAAATATATAAGAAACTCAAATTTTGGTATCCTATAGTTTCAGATAACAGTTTTTATATTTACAGGTAAACACACTGCGACTGTATCTTGTAAAAATAAAAGGGACGGCAAACAGAGGGCATCTCAAGCAATACTTCAAGCACTACATCCTAGCATTACTTCATGGGGTTCCCTTTTGCGGCTCTACGGAAACCATTCGATCAAGAGCTTCAAAGAGAAGAAATTAGAAGAGCAAGAGATTACTTCTCTGCAGAGTAAAGCGGCTGTCAATCAACCAAACTATGCCATTTTGTCAAAACTAAATATAGAACTAGGTAAATTAAGGGAAAAGCGTAAGGCCATACAGCCGATCGGTGTATTAGATACCGATGGAACTGAAGTAGTTGCGCCGTTGTCTACTTCTAATTTGCATAATTTAGCTGTGTAATCCTAGACATTGTAGTAGGTCGTCCAAAATATAATTGGTAAATATTCGAAAAAAATCAGCCACACAACAAATTACTATATGTAATATATTATACATTCCAAAGCATCTCGACTCATACAAGCAACATTTCCATGTACGTTATAACACAACTATTCGTCAAAAAAAACAAAGATCAACTATTCTTGAGATCTAAGAGATTATTAAAACGTGTGTTCTGATATAAAATTTTTCTGATTTCTGAAATTCTGATTTTTTAAAAAAAATTTTTAATCCCAAGCCAAAAATAGATCACTAAAGAAAGGCAATTAGCCGAAACAGCTGTAGTGATAAGATTTAAAATAAATTTTGTGGAAGTTTGAAAACAAAGTTTTCAGTGTTTTATTGTTACATAAAATGAATTTCCATCAAGTAACGGTCGAATCCATCAATTATTTAAAAATATTATAGATAGAATGTGGAAGTAAGTGGGTATAACATTTTAGGACCAAAAATTTGCGTTTGCGAAATTTTTTCAATTTTTACCATTAATATTATTGGACATCCACTTAAATTATTTTCAAATTATTATCTTTTTAACTCACCTATACAGTAATTTCGTTATGAATACCTGGATAAAATGCAATTATCACCCTTCTTCAACTTAAATAAATATATTTGTACGAAAATTTATTTGAAATTAAAGTAGATCAAATTATTAGTAGAATATAGTAAAATATTCAAAATTAGGTTGATATAATTATCGGAGAAAGAAATCAAGGTTATTTTAAATCAATTAACAGTCATTTTGTTAATAAAACGTGACATCTGCAGCAAAAATATAAATTAAAGAATGGAAAAAAAACTATTTTGGAAGTGTGTAAAAAATGTAATTCCTAGCTGAGCAATTTCGGTTTACAAACTCATCCTCAGAGCTATGGTCAAGTGTATAAAGTACCACTACTAAAGAGAGGTGCCATTGGCGAAAAAATATAAAATTTTTCTTTAACTCTTTCGTTCACGAATTAAATTTCTTTAAGCTAAAATAAGCTAATTAGTTTTAAGCCGGATTTATAAACGGACATAAACATAATTTTAGTCTTTAACCATAATCTTATTATATAAGCATAATGTTGAAAGTTAATAAATAAATGTACCCATTTAAAAGCATTCATAATACATAAAACATAAATTTAGTCCTTAAAACGTGACATTCAAAGTTGGTAACTTTTAACATTTATGAATTAAGTATTAAACATTATGGAATTGTTGGAACATGCGCATGCGTAATCTAACGTAAAAAATTAAAGAACTGTTCCTCATCCCATTCCTTATCACGCTTTCTATTTATGGGTCTTACACTATACCTTCTTACTCTTCTGCTTGTTAAGAACTCTGGCAGATATAGTCGCTACAATTGTTAAATAAAGTGGGACTGCTGCCATGGCCAAAGTAACTTTTCTATTAATCTTCATATTTATTTAAAATTATTTCACTTTTCTATGAATCTAAAGACCAGAATAAATTCTTCAAGATCTATAAAAATTTGGTTAGGTTTGTATTTTCTGAAGTAGTTTTTAAATATTATGGTTAGGTATTATGTCTAGTTAATCTTAAATCTTGTGAATTATGATTGTGGTTAAAGTTATGTTTATGACTTATGATTATGTACTATGTCCGTTTATAAACCTGGCTTTACATTTTCAAAATTCACAGTTTGGGCACTACAAGATGTCCTTATTTGAGGATATCGTGTGCCAATGGAGGAGTAAAAATGTTACGAATGGCCTCTTTTTCTTGTAGGCATTTTCATGTTTGTCAACAGAATTTCTTAGACATTCTGAAATTAGAAAATCTAGACCTTTTTGTCCCTAGAACAAACCATTTTGTCATAATGACCTCTCCATCACCACTAATTAATTCTTGGCTTGATCTCTGATCTATCATCTCTACCTTTCTTCATTTCGCTATCTGACAAAAATGGAGTGCCTTTGCCTTTGGTGCCTTTCTCTCAAATATTGGAATACATTATAATTACTGAAGTAGTTGTCATAGTACAGCTGAAAACCAAGTGTGGTTATTCTTTTGATAGAGCCGTAACCACAGACCCGCCCAACCCAAATATAAGCGATTCTGTTTCATCCAATTCAGTAGTTGCTCTTTGATATGTTATGAACAGCCCAGTGCTCCTGGTTAAAAGCTTAAAATCTTTAACGCAAAGATTTTAATACCCCAAGGTTTCAGTTTATTTACAACATATTGTTTTATGTTTATCTGTCCCTTAAATGACACTATCTGTTCATCTATGCAGAGCTGCATTTCTAGAGGCAAGGAAAGGCACTTTATTATTATACAATTATACAGTGGCCTCACTCTCCAGTCTGTCGTTATCAGCGTGATTGTATTCATCAATGTCAACAAAATTTAAATTTTGGCGAAGTTTACAGAATCTGTTGATAGACCTGTTGAATTTCTAGTTTAGGTTCCCAGTATTCTAGGATAATGCAAGCTACCCATAAAAATATGCATTCCTACAACTGTTTTCATTTCCTCAGCTGAAGTGGAAGAAAAACTATTGGCTTTTGTGACAGCATACTAATTAGTATATGTCGCCATTTCTTCATAAGATCATCAGTAAAATATTGATGAAACAATAATAAAGACTTTCAAGTTCAAAGACGTTAGAAAGGTTTGTTCTGTTTGAAAAGTTTATAACTTCCTCGTGCCAATGTATATCTGGGGTTAACTATGTAATGATCTTTCTCCACTTGATATCTCTTTTTTTGTTAGATCGTTGTTTTCCATAAAGTCATTTATTCTCTTCATTTTACTTTGTTTTTACTTCATTTTACTTTGCGGTTCTTCTTCTTCATGAACAAGCTCTATTGCTTCAGATTCTTCAGCTTCCTGCTCTTCAACATAACCTTGAAATTTTAGTCCTGTAAACTGCTCCTCAACATTATTATGTTCATTTGCTTGTTCTTCCCAACCCCCATCTTCGACTTCGTTGCTCATATATTCAAAATCAGATAACCCTTGTTCGATTAACCACAACAGCTTCTCGTAAGGGCTTGCTTGAACTAAATTTTCTAGTCTTATTCTAAAATATTTAATTTTTTTTATACTATATACAACAAGAAATGGGGTTATGTTGACTTGAAAATGAATCTTCGTTGACTCATAATGTCCATAAACGAGTAAACACTTTTCAGAAAATCCGTAGTAGATAATTTTAAGCAAAACCGCTATTAAGAATAGTGTTTTCACCAAATTCTATTCATCAACACCATGCGACACATGCAATACCAATTGTTCACATTTATAATGAAAGAAACTCAAATGAATTGGCTCTGTACACACCAGTCTAAGTAACTATGGAAACCTATATTTCAACAAATTAAATATTTTGTTCAAAAGCCGTTAGATGACAGCACAATTACTCATTTTACGGAATAGGATGTCCATAATCAGGAATTCGACAAGGGTAGAAACACATGGAGCTACATACAAAAAAATTATAGAATAGGTTGTCCTCAATTTATAGAGCACAAAAACATAAAAGACAGCACATTAGACTTCACAAAAAACTCATTAAAACATTTGTTTATGGAAGGGTGTAAGAACCCGACAATTTGGATGGAGTTGAAGCAGACAACTATGTTCAACAGCGTCAGAATCCGGCCCCATTGTTTTTATTCACCAATTTACTATAACCATAGCATTAGTGGTTTCTAAGAAGTTGATAACCAACGATTTACTCTTAGATTATTGATTTCTAAAATCTAAAGATTAGGTTCTAAAGTAAAATCTAAAGGTTAAGTAATATAATGATGCAATGAGTATAATAGTCACTTTTATAGATTTTACAAACAACTGAAAAAACAATGTAAAGTACATAGATACCAAAATAAACAATACCTTTACCTATTAGAAACAAACATTTTTAAAGGACCATTTTATCAACATTTCAATTCAGCTTATTTCAAACGTGATTGATTAATTTTTGTCCAGATGTTTATTTCGATTTAATCATTGTAATAGAATAATTTGGCCTGTTTATTGTTAATTGATGTGCCATTGATGTATCTATACATACAAAACTATTATATTTCTTTGTAACATACAAGTATCACTGTACTATTATATTACATAAAGTTGTGGTGGGCACTTTTCGATTATCACTATTTTGTGTAATTTTACATTTTTTACTTCTGATATCAGTGTCGTATTGTGGAATACCCAATTGTCTAAAGTGGAAGTAAATATATTTATGTATATTCTCAGTATATCCCATTTCCAAGTATAACATTGAAACTAATGTTACAACGTATATGATCAGTTCTTCGAGTTCCGAGCCTGTATTTGATGTTTCCCCGCACAGTCGCTTATTCAGATGTTAAGATACAAGTAACTTAATATTAAGTGTCTATTACAATTTTTTATGCGTCTATAAGAAATATCTACAGACTGTACCTTATGAGAAAGTATTTACCGAGGTTGAATTATTTCTGTTTGGTGGTTAAAAAGATTTCCTAGTTAATTTTTAAAAAATTGGTTTTGTTGTTTAAAATTTAGAAATCAGTATGACACATTATTATTTCCGGCATCAAATGTTCGGCATATATAGAATCTGCTCTAGTGATAATAAAGTTTCTTTTTTGATGATATAAACATAAATATTTGTTTCGACCTAATATGCTATTCACCTATTGTAACTTAGTAATAAGTAATGCCTTTTGTTATCACAGATATTTTTAAATCATTGACTGATGGCAGCTGTTTTAAGTTCTTCTGTGTTAAGTAAATAAAATCTACATTGCAAGGTATTGTTTTATTTTAAGCGTCTGTAGTAGAGCTAGGACACTATTCTGACCTAAGGAAAACTACAGCATATGCAATACTTATAATACTGAGTAAATGGACTTCAAAGAATCTACAACTTTTAAAAAGGGCGAAAATTGTTACAACAGTGCGGTTAGAAAGGATTTTACTGTATATCAATAAATCTGTAAATATACTATGTTAAAAAAAGGAGCTGTAGTTTATCCTAATTTTATGCTTACTATGGCAGATATCGGGAAAAAAACGTAAGTATTATAATATTAGTCGGTTCACAATTTGTCGATAGCTCACTACAAGTTCAACCCTAATTAGAGAACTGAAATACAGAGAGGATAGGTAATACGATATAATAGTAAAAACCAACCTGAAACTGACGGTTTAAGATGTTTTCGACTAACCCACCTTGTATCTGAACGAATACAATATAGCAATCAACCTTATAATCCGATTACGAAGGTATTTTGGTTACAGATGACCGAACACTGTCGTAGAGTATATGATTGAATCATTTATTTGAAGTAAATAAATATATTTTTTAAATTGTATTTTTGTTTTAATAAAACTTCTTTATTTTATTCAAAAATAAAAAGTTTCTTGCCATTTGTAAAAGATACATTTATTTAAGGGGAAAGGCGCCAAATATCGCCTGGCAAAATTTTCAATGTGTTTTAAATGTATCCATTATTTTCGAATCCGGAGAAAACTAATATATTTTGAAAAATTTAAACGCAGAATGAAAGATTACATTATTACTAAGGGCAGAAAGTCCCTGAAAACTTCTACAATGTTTATTTTAATATGTTATGTAACAGGGGTGAAAATAACAGAAAAAATATAGTATAATTTTTAATTGAAAATATTACATGCAAAAGAAAGTTTTTATTATATACTGGTAGTGGTTTATAAACAATGATTATGTATTTCTCATTTTGACTTTTCTAGTATATATGTGGATTTCTTATGTTTAAAAAATACATTAATTATTGTCTTATTGTTTAAAGCAGGAACTTCCAGCAATTTCCTTCCATTAATATTTCTGGTCATTTTTCCGAATTATCCTATGTCTAAGTGTAGAAGATAGGTAAACGATTTGAATATTTTAAATAAAAAACTCTTTTATACAGATTATAAATGTTTTTATTTATATAAAAATGTCTATATACAAAAACTATCTATTAAAGTCAATACACATAAAAAAATAAATACAGTCAAAACGCAATCATTCCTGAAAACTTTGGTTTAAACATATTTTTATATATATCCTCCAATAATTAAAAGTTGTATTCTGTACAAATGGTCTAAAATGTCCGCTTTAGAAATAAAATTCGTTTATTATAAATTTAAAACCAGATTGACAATATCACTGCCCCTAGAAACTACCAAAATATATATGGCGGGTATATTTAAAAATACACACATAGGACAGAAAACACATAAAAAACTTTTCAAAAGAAATATTTAGTATAATTTAAAAACTTAAAAATATATTATTTAAAGACGATGATGCCCATATCTCGAGGAGCAGAATGTGATAATTATTGGATTAGGATCAGGGTCTATATAGAATTGAGGATAAAAGAAACCTTATACAGTTTCAAAAATTGTCATTATTGCCCAGTAAAAGATTAGTGTCGCTAAAATTAACAGTTAACAAACATACTGTACAACAAACGATCGGAAGCTCAGCATTCATTCAGTGGCGTATCAGCAAAATAAAAAAAAAGAATAATCGACAAATATTTAGATAAGATAAAAGGTTCATGTAAAAGATGACTCCTGTTAAATGGACATTGTAACTAACAATAGTGATGATGCAGCAGATACTGCGAAAAGATTTCATAGAACAAAAAACTGAACAAATTTTAGATTCTAAAGAAGTTAGAAACGAAAAGTTTTGAGAACTAAATATATAACCAAAAAGTTAAGTAACCAGAAACTGAACTAAAAATTAGTATGAATGAAACATATTCATAAAAATTATAATTCAATAGTCGTATAAATTAAAAAATACAAACTACTCATTATATACTATACCAATTAAGAAAATATACACCAAAAATAAAAGAAACTAAATTGATTTAAGGAAAATGTTCACTAACACAAAAAAATTAAATATTCTGGTCCGTAAGGAAGTTCTTATAACAAACACTATTTACAAGTTTAAAGATTTGCAGATTAAAGACAAATTGATTTCTCTTAAAACCTTGGTTTCCATTTGTTTATTACACAAAATTATTCGAGGATTTTTAAAATAACTTAAATCATACAAAAATACAAAACTAAAGACTAGATAACAAAACCAATATAACCAAAAGGTGTCCCTAACAGTATTTGAAAAGTTTAAAGGCAAATTGAAAATTTTGTCGGTTTTGAAGATCACAGGATCATATTTTTTATGTACGAACTGTCAAGGAACTGGAATCATTATTTTAAGTATAGTAAAGAAGCGCTACAATAATTTAACAAAGTACTCAAATTCTTTTTATGATTATGATTTATTGCATTAAAATTATTTTGAATTATTATCAGACCATTAAGCTTTAAAAAAGAAAATTGAGTTCAGCTATATACTGAGACCGAGAAGCAGCTGTTTTATCTTAGGAGCATATTTATACATCACTCAGTAAGTTCTTGTCCTAATTTGTAGATGGCGACCCTAATAAATCAAAGTATATGACAAGATACAACCTTCAAACATCACCTGTCAAAATTTGAGCTCAATCTGAGCAGTAATTAACAAGTTACAGTGGTTTAAGTGACACTGCCTCTGGAATTTTCAAAACAATGGAAAATCAGAATTGTGTGTGTAGATAAAGCATTGCTTTCAGATTGAAAAAATACCGATCAATCATGCGAATGGCTTGAAAGTATTATTCTGACTCTTCTCATCGGAAACAACAGTTAAGAAGTGGGGGGTTGACTTCAAATGTACACACAAATCATGCTGAGCGCTGTGGTTGACCAAACTCGACACTTGCCTCACGTTAGGGAGTCCCCAAAAGCTATGTGAGATAGCAAAAGAGTTGAATAGACTATTCAGTATTTTTAACGAAAGTTTTCAATGAGAAAAATGTGTGGGGTTAAGCAAGTGTTCATAGTCGATCAATGTATAGACGATCTAGATCACTGTTTAGAACTGTTTCAGGAGTTTTTGCGTTGAACGGTCAAAATAAATGAAACGTTGAGTCAAATCTACAATCAACTGAGTGGACAGCAGCAGGTAATCCAGTAAGTCATCCAAACATCAGCTGAAAAAAATTTGGCTTGTTTCAGGAAACATCAATAGCATTATTACATATTGCTATGGTGCTTTTGAAAAAGAAACTGCTAGAAAACGGATACCAATGAAGAAGAAACCAGGACAATGCACTGTATCTTGGAATCAAGCATATTCTTCAGATCTTGCTCATCCTGACTGGTAGTAGACCTCAAAAAGATGATACAGGAAAATAAATTTGGATCAACTGAGGCAGCAATTGCGGAAATAAGTCGTATTTTGAGGCCAAAGAAAAATCATTACACAGAAAGACATACAATGGTTAGAAGAATATTGGAAGAAAATATTCCTAAGAAAGGAGATGAATAAGGTTGAATTTTGGCTAAAATTTGTTTTATTAGTTAAGATTCTTAAGCAAAGTTATAGTATATATGGAAAAACAGGTTAAATAAAAAGAATTACTGAAAACATATGCCTAAGGTAGCACATAGTAAGGATTTTATCTAAAAAGTCCGAAAGAATAACTCAAATGAAGAAGAAATACATTAGAAAAAATTAAATTTGAGTCTTCTCATACTCTAGAGTACTAATTTATCAATGAAGTGTTCTAATAAAGCAAAGATGAAAGTTTTGGTATAGATATAAATGTTTGGAAACTCAAACATCATTATTTATATAAAACACATACTTAAATGGTACCGTTTCCTTGACGTTCCTTGTAAAAGTAAACATCACAAAAATTTGTATACTCTACAACTTTTATCACTTGTTTTAAGTCATTTACAATGATATTTTTTATTTAAAAAAACAAGAAAGTTTTTATAAAATAATTATTTAAAAGTACGGAAAAACATACCAGGCGACACCGGTAAAATAGTAAAACAATTTCATAAAAAATACCTAAATTTAGAGTGGTTAGTTAGTCAATCCCTAGACAAAATATACATTGTAAATAAGAAAACCACTTTTCTTAACTTTCTTTACTTTTAAGAAATAAAATATCTAGCAAATGATAAAATATTTTTGTGATGCCGCTATGCTAACATAAGGCACTTATTTATTTGAGATCATACATTATAATCTAGCTAATTGTTAAAAAATAACTACTGGTAATTGAAGAGATCAAAAAGTAAATACTTTCGGCAAAATCAGCGAATCAGCAATTGTTTTCATTATTGGAAGTTTGTATTTAAGAAAATTTAATAGTTTTAAATAAATTCGTTCAGGTAAATTGGAAAATTTCACAAACAACTATCAACTAATTTTTTCAAGTGTTCCAGAGCAGTGTGCTGAAATCATTTCCTTACTTATATAGTGTAGTATGAACCTACAATACATTTATATTCTTGTTCTAGAAGTCTTAGATTAATTGAGATAATATACTGATTCATTTAAATCAACTGGCAACAGCGCGTTGTGTGAAATATCATCATCAGTGGCATTACAGCTCGTTATGAGCCAAAGCCTTCTTCAGAACAATCTTCCATTCGCCCCTATCTCTGGCAACTCTTCTCCATGCTTTAACTCCGATAGATTTTAGATCATCCTCTATGTTATCTTGATACCTTGTGTAAAATATCACCTGTGCTTATTCGGGTTTTTGAAGAAGTAGTGAGAAATAAATTTCAAACTATACGAGGAAAAAATAGAGCATAATCTCTATGCAGTTTGGCAAAAGGGCTAGAAGTAAGTTTTACAAACATTTTATTGTATTAAAAACAAACAACTATCAAGAATTCCAGTTCTTTACAACAAATAAGGAAATACAGTGGGTGGCCAAATGATTAGGGACACTACATATATGTATATGTTTTTTTTTTACCAAAAAAATTTGTGTTCATATCTGTATTATATTTGGCAGTTCTTCTGGTATGATTATTAAAATTTTCGATATGCGGCAACACTGGTAGACTGCTTATATATGAAATAATAATTGCTGTTCTGCAAAAATAAACATAAATTAGAGGAATATAAAAATAAAAAATATATATAAACCTTCACCTGAGCAAAGCAGAAGATACGAATAAGGGCAAAATAGAAAAACAGTTAAAATAGGTTTTGACAAACAGACAACCGAAGAATGTTGGAAATGAAACAAAGAAACCTCAACACTAAAAACACAAAAAAAATGATATAAACACGAAAATTGCTGAAAACGCGAAAAACACCGAAAAAAAAACGCTAAAAACACGAGAATTGCTGAAAAACGCGAAAAACACCAAAAAGGCTAAAAAACACGAAAATTGCTGAAAAACACAAGAAACACCGAAAAACGCTAAAAAAAGCGAAAAATACTTAAAAACGCGAAAAACACCGAAAAACGCTAAAACACGAAAATTGCTGAAAAACGCAAGAAACACCGAAAACGCCAAAAAAGCTAAAAATCCTTAAAATCGCTAAAAACACGAAAATTGGTGAAAAACGCTAACAAAGCGAAAAATTCTTAAAAACGCGAAAACACCGAACAACGCTAAAAACACGAAAATTGCCGAAAAACGCGGAAATACCAAAGGACACGAAAAACCCGAAAATTGCTGAAAAACGCGAAAAACACCAAAAAACGCTAAAAACACGAAAATTGCTGAAAGACGCTAGAAACATCAAAAAATGCCAACAAAGCGAAAAATTCTTAAAAATGCAAAAAACTAGGAAAAACGCTAAGAACACGATAATTGACTAAAAACGCGAAAAACACCGAAAAACGCTAAAACACGAAAATTGCTGAAAAACGCAAGAAACACCGAAAACGCCAAAAAAGCTAAAAATCCTTAAAATCGCTAAAAACACGAAAATTGGTGAAAAACGCTAACAAAGCGAAAAATTCTTAAAAACGCGAAAACACCGAACAACGCTAAAAACACGAAAATTGCCGAAAAACGCGGAAATACCAAAGGACACGAAAAACCCCGAAAATTGCTGAAAAACGCGAAAAACACCAAAAAACGCTAAAAACACGAAAATTGCTGAAAGACGCTAGAAACATCAAAAAATGCCAACAAAGCGAAAAATTCTTAAAAATGCAAAAAACTAGGAAAAACGCTAAGAACACGATAATTGACTAAAAACGCGAAAAACACCGAAAAACGCTAAAAGCACAAATTTGCTGAAAAACGTGAAAAATACCAAGAAACGCTAAAAAACACGAAAATTGCTGAAAAACGCTAGAAACATCAAAAAATGCCACAAAGCGAAAAATTCTTAAAAATGCAAAAAACTAGGAAAAACGCTAAGAACACGATAATTGACTAAAAACGCGAAAAACACCGAAAAACGCTAAAAGCACAAATTTGCTGAAAAACGTGAAAAATACCAAGAAACGCTAAAAACACGAAAATTGCTGAAAAACGCGAAATCACCAAAAAACACGAAAATTTATGAAAAACGCAAAAAACAGCAAAAACCCTTAAAAACCAAAAAAAGCTGAAAAACGAAAAATGGTTATAAGCTCGAAAAACGCTAAAAACGCGACAAATTGACGGACGTAGAAGAAACAGAGACAAAGGAAAAGGACACAAATACAAATAACTCGGGAAACAGAAGCGAAGAAAAAGAAATTGAGAAAATGGCTTGTGTTGTAATGTAAGATAAAAACATTTTGTGGATCCTTTAGTTATTAATGGGTTAATTCTATTGAGTCGGATCTCGTCTGCTTCGTTTTGCTCTCATTCTTCGATATATTTCATACTGTTGCACCCTTTATCCTTTTTTAAACTTTATTTCTATAACTTTCTTATTTTTATACTAAATTCAATTCAGTTATTGATATACGAATTATGTATAGTTTGCTGATTCGTCAATTTTGTCGCAAAGGGTATATAAAAGCTTATTTCGGTTATCAAACATTTTTCAATACACGCTTAACTTCACGAATAAAATAATTAAACATTAAATAACACAAACAAATTTGCATTCCGCAGTCAACGAGTAATAAAAGTTACAATAAACCAAACGATGTACCGGTTTGTTCCCTCGACATAAATTGTTTAAATCTATCGATCTAAAAGGAGCTTTGGATAAAGTATATTTGGTTACAAAATCAGTCTTTTAAAGCGAATTTTTCACCTTTACAAGAAAAGTGTCTCATTTGTCAATATTGAGTAAATATTTTTGTTAGTAAGGAAAGTAAATCGTTACAAATTTATCGAACACGCGTAACTTGGTACATCATTTGATTTTCCACTAAACTGTTTTACACAGTTATATAACAGAAACGACATTTCTGTCTGCAAAGTATGAACAATATATCTATAAAAACAACTAAAATTCAATGTTCTCCACTTCTGTGGGCGTTTCCGGTTGTCCATACTGCGGGCTTTCGTATCCCTGGACTGTGTTTGGTTCTGGCGTTGTGGATTTAGGTAGTACTTTTGCAACTGCGCTGTCAATTACTGCTACTACCACTTCGACGGCCTGGGGATTGACGTTTAGCAAGCTGCACACGTCTCTGATGGCTATTTCTGAAAACATGAGCTTAAGACCTCTTACTGCGGAGCTGATGCAGGATGCTGCGATGACGGATGGTGGAGTCTGGATCAAATCAGGCTCTGAAACAATAAAAAAACGTTAAAAAAATTTACAGAAATAGATAAAAAAAATTATTTTTCTTCTATATTATAGTAAGATGTTCATTGTAATGAATATCTACGACATAAACATTGCGGAAAATAAGATGACTTGCAGATGCAATTAGAAGATACGTCGCTCTAATATAACGTCGTGATTTCAACTAAACTAAAACAATCTGTAGGTATCTGTAGAGTAGGGAGGACGAGTTAAGTTTCACAGCACTTGGGCCATAATTGACCCATTTTCATCTTCCCAGGGAGCTCATTGTCCGTCCTTCCATTTCTAGGAAGGTGGACAAGTCACCAGGAAACATCTCATTTGTGTGGGGCCGTGACTCGCCGAACGCGTACTCTCGTATTAACGATAACTCTGGGAATTCACATAGAACATGCTCTACAGTTTCGTCTTCTCGTTCACACTTCCTATATATAGGTGTGTCTACTACCCCAGTGTGTGGAGGTGTTTTGCTTAGTTGACAATGACCAGTTAAAAAACCATCTGTCAAGCGTATATTTTTCCCAAGTACTTCTTTGATGCTGATTTTTCAAGGTTACTTAGTGTTACCGTTGCCTTTTTCCCCATCTTTTTACGATTTGCGTATGGGAGTGACATTTGACAATTTCCGTGATTGGTGTAGTTCCAACTGACCAACAAAAAAGATCGTCGGAAAAGTTTAGACTAGTTTAAATCCTTGGGGGTATTAAGCCCGTGATTCTTCTTTTTCTGATGAAAAGGACCATCTCTGTCTTTGTAGGATTTGTAGTGAGTGTTCCTTGCACCATGTTTCTATTAGTCGAAGAGCACCTTGTAATCTCTCACATAGTGTGCTCTTGAACTTACAGCTTTGCAGGATAGCAATATCGTCTGCATAGGTTATTGTGTAGAACCCGTTGCTGCTGAGTTGGTCAATCAGGGTATCTAGAACTATGTTCCGGTGGAGTGGTAATAGCACCCCTCCCTGTGGAGTCCCCCTCATAACCATGCCTCTAACAGAAACGTCTTCTACATTTATGCTTATTGCTCTATTAGAGAGCATACTGAATATCCTTGCATATTCGCTTACGACCAGGGGAGCATTCCTGACGATCAGCTGTTGGGTGATGGTTGGACATGTGGTTTTATCAAACGCTCCCTCAATGTCTATGAATACACCCAGGGTGAATTATTTATTTTTATTATTATCTTCCCGAAGTATATGCATGCTGATTTGGGTGAAGTGGGTTATGGACGAGAACTTTATCCCTTATGTACCTCTCACTTAGCCTTTCCATCGTTTTCAAGAGAAATGATGAGGCTAATTGGTCGGAAAGCCTTTGGTAGGGTGTAGTCCATCTTACCTGGTTTTGGTATGAAGACCACACGTACCTCTCTCCACTTCCTAGGAATATATCTCAAAGTCAAAGAGGCTCTGAATATTTCCAGAACGTGCGGCAGAAGGTTATCCAGTTCCCATCGTAGCAGGGCTGGATATATGCCGTTAGGCCATGGTGATTTGAAAGTGGTGAAGCACAATATGGCCCATCTTACATTTTCCCATTAATCGTTGTTCTGGCGAGATGCCAGATTTTTAGTGAGGATATGACTGCTTCTTCCTTCCAGTTTGGTGCTGTTGAGGCGTTAGAATCAGGGAAGTGTGTTTTCATCAAGATCTCAGCACTTTCGCAAAGGTTGAAAGTTTTGTTTCCATCTTCCTTCGTTAATATGCCGATGTGGGTCCTTTGAAAGCGCTTTTTGTAGCCTGGAAGCCTGCTTCGATTTCCTCACAGAAGATTCTCCAAATAGCTCCTAAACTCAAACGATATTGATATCGTCGAAACCAAGACGTAAATTGGTTGTTAACAACAAATTAATAGAATATGTAATGGAAGATGTAACGAAAATAGACGAAGAAGGCGAACAGAGCAACGGGTGGCTTAAAAAATACGTTATGGAGAAACAAACATCTTACAAGAGAAACAAAACTAGGATATCAAAACTACAATAAAGCAAATGATAACACTGTGAAAGATGAGCAAATGCCATCTAAACGCATATATTATTGGAGACAGCGGCAACGAAAAACCTACGAATGATAAAACAAACCAAATACTGAGAGACAGACTAAAAAATAAGAAAATAATAACGGGATGCGTGGTACAAGAAATAAAACTGAATACTACGATTTTAAGCTTAAAAACAATTAAAATAACGAGGAAATAACATGTAGGAAACAATTTTTTTATTCACCATGTCGGCATTTTTACACTAATTAAAAAACAATGTCCTACGACCCTTAAAACCAGAGTTAACTCTTTTCTTTCAAAAAGTCACCGGGGCTTTGAGAACCAAAAAGAACCATTTGAAAGATTAAGAGGCTACATCAGCGCGTCATCAAGATGGAAAACGCGTTCCAAGATTGCAGCTTTAATTTTAAATATTTTGACGAGATATTTGGCACACATATACGTGATATAGTAAAGAATGGCGGTATGAAGCCCAATTTGAGAAATATGTAATTATGTGGAAATTACTCTATAACTAAATAAAATATTACAAAAACGAGTTTTTACCGCCATTAAGAAAAACAAAAAAATACACTTTCTTCAAATAAACTTTTCTATCACATGCCTAAATTTTGTGTCACATTGGAATTACTAAAATCAACTAAAATCAATGATCTATAACAAGAAATCGAACTTAACTGAGTGAGTTGGCAACATAGAGAAATAGTCACCGCTATGGCGCTATCACATTTGCACTTCCACGTCTGTTTTCTGTGTGATTCTCCTACCGATATCATCTGTTCATGCAGTAGTTTATTATTTTAAAGACATTGAAATTCGTTAGTGTTTATTCATAGTAGTGTTTGTTTAAAATTTATTTATTATATTTGTGTAATAGAACTGAGTTGTCGGGCTATTTGAAAAAAATAGGGTATTATTAATTGTGGGTTTTATAGGTAAGTCTATATTACGTAAAAATATTTCAAATTCTAATGCGAGTATATAGTCTTAGGAGGGATTTTTATTCTAGAAATATAAATATTTTTGAAAATGGGAAAAATTTCTCAAGCGAAAAATAAAGTCACGCCTTCCAAGAAAAGGTCCAGTAAAAACCGTGCTAAAAGGATTCGAAAATCGAAATTAGAGCCACCACAAATTTTAATAATGTAAGTATAAGCAATCTACTGTTGTCATAAATAAAAGGTGTGAAAAGTTGTTTCCCATGAAAATGAAATTGGTAATAAATCTATATTTAGGTACAGAAATTCTCACTAAAGTACAAATGCCAATTTTTTCAGGAAGATAGATATTCATTGGCGACAATATTTTGGTCAGAATATAGCTACAATTCAGTCTCAACCCGATATGGACTCTGATGAATACGAGGCGAAAGAAAAAATATTTCTAAGTAATTTAAAAAAAGCAAAAGAACAAATAATGGATATAGAGAAAACAACCCGAGGTCAGTGTTTTTCAGTTCAGTGGCTTGAAGAGAGACAGAAAAGAATTACTGCATCACATTTTGGCAAAATTTGCAAATTAAAATCTACCACTTCTAGGTCAAGAACAGTCTGCAGTTTGTTATATTCTAAATTTAAAGGTAACGAAAATACTAAATATGAACAAATACATGAGCCTTTTGCAATAGAAGCATTTGAGACCAAGATGAATTGTAAAATAATTAAATGTGGACTATTTATTGATGAAGAACATTGTTTTCTTGGAGCAAGTCCAGACGGGTTAGTGGGCGATGATGCTTTAATTGAGATTAAATGTCCCCATTAAATCTATGACTCCTGAAACAGCTGTAGAGAAAAAAACTACCTTATCTTCAAGTCAACAAAAACACTAATAAAATTGAATTAAAACGCAATCATGACTACTAATACCAGATTCAGGGTCAGTTGCATATCGTAAAAAGAGAAAAATGTTATTTTGTGGTTTGGACGCCTCAGGGAAATATAATTGAAGAAATTCCGAGGGATCCACAATTTTGGACAACAAAAATATTTCCAAAAGTAAAGGAGTTTTATGTGAATAATATGTTGCCAGAACTAGTAGATCCAAGACAATCGCGCGGCTTACCTATTAGAGAAGGATAATTATTCCACAAATATACACGGTCTAGGATCTTTAGCAATAATGTTTTTGTAGAACCATAAATTTGAACGTACGTGAATTTCATGTTTACGTCAGAAAATATAATTTTTAATCTTTTTATTGTAGAAAAACTATACGTGATAGAAGTTCCTATGAACAACCATCCTCCACATATCTCGATTTAAACTAATTGCTGCACTGTATTTCAAATTAACGAATATTTTCAAAACTTTGCGGCAAACATGGACATAATAGAAGTCACAACTGTTATCGTATTCAAGTAAAAAGTAAGAATATTTAACTAAATTCTAAATTTATGCAGTGCAATGGTGGATTCTAAAATGGGATATTTTTGTGAAGAAAGAATAAAATTAGTGTAGCTATACTATGAAAATAATCAGTGACCTAAGGCTGCGGCAAATCCAGAAAAAACGTAAGTCACCAATACATTAAACTGAAAAAGTTGAAAAGAAAAAAGTTTGAAGCTTTAGTTGACGTTAATAACACAAAGCATGAAGTGGACCGTCGAGTGCGAAATGAAGCACGTGAAGTGGCGGTATTGGGTCATTGACAAATGGATAATTGACAGTCTATTAGACAACTATCTCGTGCATCTGGTCTATGAGCATCTAGTGTTTATCGAATTATAAAATACTATAAATTTTACCCTTATAAAAGACGATTATTTCATCAATTAAACGAAGATGATCCTGATCATCGACGTCAAATTTGTGAAGAATTTAGTAAAATCATAAAAATAACCAACATCGATTGTACGTGTTTTTCCGACGAGTGTACTTTTATGTTAATGGTGAAGACAATAGACATAATTGTTGTTATTTGAGTAACAGTAATCCTCATTTATTCATTGAGACACATACACAAACACCTCATAA